ACCAGAGAAACTATTTGGTATTTACATACGTGTCTTATTTATTTCACTTACATGTATGGCCTCAATATGCATCCATTTTCCTATGAATGACTCTCATTTCTCATTCTTTATAGCTGAGTAATATTCCATTTTATAGAAAAAACACATCTTTATCCAGTCTCCAACTGATGGGCAATTGGGCTGTTTCCAAGTTTTAGCTATTATAAACTGTGCCGCTATAAACATGGGTGTGCATATATCTCTGTGATATGACTCTTAAGGAAATTATGTATTTTAAGGACTAAAAGGTATATAATGTGAAATATGAATAAAAGGTGCAAAGGAGAAGGAGAAGAGGGAGGGGTAGGGGAAAAGAAAGAAGGGAAGGGAATTAATATGAGAAAATGAAAAAATAGGAACAAAGTGTAGATAGGGAGGAAGGGAGGCGTTAAAAGGAGGGCAGGGGAATGGAGAAAAAATAACCAAGATGGATTATATAAAGGTGCAAGTGACCAATGATGAATGTCATATTGTACACCTTAAATGTACCAATAAAATTTAAAAAAGGAAATGATTATTTTAGGGTGCTTAAACTTGTTGAATGACTACTGTCCCATACTAGAACAACTATCACCATGCTCGATAAACTGCATGTAGGATCCTGCTTTCTTAGTAGTGTGATCTACAAGACCCCCCCACTGGGGAACAAAAAACATTCTTGATAGATACATCCAAGGCTTTTACTATAGTCTGAGACGGTAGAGAATTTTGGAGCTTTGAAATCCAGCCTCTTCTTCTGAAAGAAATGTTTACTATGAGCTCCATATATTCGAAGTTGGTATTGTGTAATTTAATGCTGTCTTAAACTATAATAATCAATGTCTTCTAAATAAGTAAATTACTACCATAAGCCTCTTCATGGTGATAATATAAAATATAGCATGGAAACATGCTAATAAATCATGTTTTAAAAAATGGACTTATTATCTATTTTACTGAATTCACAGCTATAGCTTCAGAATTTACTATATTTTCTGTCTGACCAGAAGAAAGCATTGCTTAAAATTCTAAATATAATTACTTTCATTAATAAATATTGATTGAAGGATTATCACTACATGTGTTCATAGTATTGAGCAATATATAGAAATTTAATTTCAGTATTTTGTAGTATTTACAGGAACTCAAATAACATCAGCACAATATTTTCTTTTTTGGGGGGTTGATGACTTGTTGACCAAAGGAAGCTCACAGAGGGTACAGAAACCAAGAGACCCAGGGGAGGGACTTCCCTTGATGACAGTCTATATCATACAGGTCCATTTCGTGCAGTCCCCACACTGGTTGGTGACTCTTAGCCAAGGCTGGGAAGGTGAGCAGAAAGCGGGGAGTTCTTGCTGAAGCTGCTGGTCACAACTGAGTGTTAGTGAGGTCATCAGAGTCCTGGCACAATATTTCAAACTTTGAAGTTTTCAACAACTAGGATAAGGAACAGATAACGTGGTCTGCTGCCCAAGTCGGGGCACAGCAGTGGGGGCGTCAGGCCAGCTCCATGCAGTTCGACCTCTTCTGGGCAACTGCTTCTTTATGCACCATGAGCAACCTGTCTAGCAGTTTCCATAAACCTGATGCAGCTATACCTTCCTAGGACAGCTGCCTCCTCTTCCTTCCTCTCCCAAAGCCAATCAAGCCCTTCCAACCCCACCCACCCTTGAATGTCTCCTCCCTTTCCCCCTCAAGTGGGTCTTTCACACCCAGAACCAGGTTGACTCAGTTCAGCTGGGCATTCCAAATTGGCCATTAGTTATTCCAGGACACTAAGACACAATACACAACACCCACAGTCTAAGGAGTGAGAAGGTGGTCTTTGCTTACAGTTTGAGCAAATTCAGTCCATGGTATAACCCTTGAAGGCATTAACATAATGGTGGGAAGGAAACCAGTCCAAACGTGCTTTGTTTATGGCAACCAGGAATCAGAGGAGGGAAATGGTATCAGAGAAGAACAGGCAAAGGGACCAGGCATGAACTCCAAGGCCACACAGCCATGACCCACGAGGGCACACGTAGAAGTGTGCACCACCAACCCTTCAGGCCAGTCAGGTTGACTCTTCACCCAAACCACCACATCCTGTTCCTTATCCAATTCATACTCAAACACTTCTCCTGAAGCTATAATCTACAAACAAGGAAAAGAACTCCTAACATAATCAAATCATCATGTATATAAACAAAAGTAGAATAACCCTTTCCTCAAAGTCTTGGCAGTCCCAGCATTTTTAACACTCCAAGTCAAGAGATTTTCTGAGATATAAGGCCAACACTTAACTGTGAACCTCTATGAAAATCATGAATATTACATAACTCCAGGTACAATAGAATAGAGTAAACATTTCCATTCCAAAAGGGAGGAGCAGAATCCGAGCAAAGTAAGGTCAAAATCCATCAGAGCACACATGCAGTCCTGTGTGCCTTATCTGGCATATGGGACTGGTGGTTCCAGAAACAGTTCCAAAGGTTTGGTCATCCCACACAGCTTCTCTCTAGGGCTGGCTACCTACACTTTCAGCTTTCCTTCACTGAAAATCCATGTCCCTGCCCTGGCTCTCCCTGGAGTCTCCACTGAACCGCTGACTTCATTCCCATAGTTTCAGTCCTGGACTTTTCAGGGCTCCCTGCCTCGCCTATTGGGCCTTTTTTTGCTGGGTAGAAATAGCTGGGTGTGGTATCAAGTGCCTGTAGTAGGCTGAAGCAAGAAAATTGCTTGAGCTAAGGATTGTAGACCAGCCTGGACAATAGCCAGACACCAGCTCTTCAAAAGAGAGAGGTAGAGAATTTAACCAAATTTGTTTTCAAACTTTAGTTACCACATCAACTCTTCCCTGGATCTTTAGCCTGCTGGTCCTGGATTTGTCAGCCTTTACTGCTGTATTAGCCAAATCTTAAAATAAATCTCATTCTCCATCATCTTTTGTGTGTGCACAAAACATGCATGTCTTTCTGTTGATTTCTTACACACACACAGCACCTATTATTTCTGTTTCTTGGAAGAGTGCTGAGCAATTCAGATTTTAGTACCAAAATTAGTTCTAGAGGAACGGAATTTCAACATTAAATATTTTCTATATTAATTCTAAGGTTGCTGAAATTATCTAATCTTATTATATTCAAAGGCACTGATAATTATATGTGGGGTAGTAAAGAAAGCACTGGCTGTACGGCATACTTTAAATTTCTTAAGGGGTTAGATCTTAAGTGCTCTTATAAGCAGAAAATGGCAGAGAGAGGCACAGAAATAGAAGATGCACAGGAGGAAACTTATGGAGGTGATGGATACATTTATATCACTGACTTTGATGATGGACTTATGGGTATAGATTTATCTCCACCTTTTTTTTTTTTTTTTTTTTTTGAGACAGGGTCTCTCTATGTAGTTGAGACTGACCTGGAACTCACTATGTAGCCCAGGCTGATCTCGAACTCACAGTGATCCTCCTGCCTCAGCCTCCAGAGAGCTGGGATTACAGGTGTGAGCCACCTTTTTTTTTTGACAGGCTGGGGATTGAACCCAGGGCCTTGCTTATGGTATTCAGGTTTTCTCCCACTGAGCCACATGAGATCAGCACTGCTGATCTCCACATTTATTAAATGGCATACATTAAGTATATATTGGCTCTTATACATCAACTTTATCTCAATAATTAATTTTTTAAAGAGAGCACTAATGTTCCATGGCATGTTCTGGAACTAATATATATATATGGAACTAATCCATATATATATATTCGCTAGAGTCTTATAATTAAACACAAAGGACCTGATTCTGATTGACTAGATATGTAACTCTGAAAATTTTTGTCAAACCAAAAGTATAGTGATATGAATGCTTGTTCCTAACTTTGCGTCAAAGTGTGTGTGATGGGGAGTAGAGCTTGTCAGCTCAAGTCCTACACAAACATCCAGAGAGGTTTTTTGCCAGCCTTAAAAGAGATCTTTATTTACTGTAACTGTGACGGCTGAAAGCAAAACCCAGAATCTCATTCAGTAAGTGGCTGAATTACAGAACAAATTAAATTTTCGATCTTGCAGGATGTGTACTATAAAAGGGAAGATATTCACTGGGGAGAAACGTACCTCTCACGTCAGTGGCACATGAGTTGTTTGCAGTCTGTGACAAGACCTGAAAGGGGTCATCCTCTGTGGTTAATAAACTCTCTTTTTAAGAAACATCTTTTCGCTTTGTACTGGGACTTAGTAGAGACTAAACACGTAACAGTGAGTCACAAGTTATGATGTCCCACTAGATGTCCATAGTAAACTAGACATTATCTGACTCCTCAAACCAGAAAGTTATATATATATATATATTATCAAGCCTTAGCAGGTACTAAAGCCACTTGTAAGTACCATGAAAAATTGGCCCAACTTCCCACCACCAGGTTTTCTGATACATATTTTCTCTTTCCCAGCCTAAGACTATAGCTTCATGGGAAGTTTTCTATAATAACTAGAGGAAAACATTGGCCATACTTACAGATGGTTCTGTGTATCATGCATAGAACCACATGAAAGTAGACATCTATAGAACTCCTATGACGATCAGACCCTCTCAGTGGGCACTGCATCATCTTGTTAATATTGTTTGGAAAAAACTGGGAGGGGTGTAGGGCTTGAAGGGAGGGCAGGGGAATGGGGAATAAATAAGAACTAAATGGGTTATGTAAAGGTGCACATTTTCAATGATGACCGTCATTATATTGTATGCCTTAAATGTACCAATAAAATTGATTTTAAAAAGGAAATGTCCATATGCATGACTGTGGACCAACACAGAGAGGAAATGTCCATATGCATGACTGTGGACCAACTCAGGCGCTGTGACCAACATTTTGAGTAGATATCTGGTCGAGGAATGGCAAGGGGCATGACTGGAAAGCGGGAGACAGAGAGTCAGGCAGGAAGTGAGTACACAGACCTCTCTGAAGGCACGGAAAGTGTGAAAATATTTGTGATCTTGCACAGGGTGATTTCAGTAAGAAAAGGGAAAGGACAGCCAGTGCTGCGGATAGCAATGGGAATCTCTTCGCCCAGCCACCTCTGTCGTTGCTGAAAGGACTCGTGAACAAAGTGGGAGCGGTGTAAGCCACGGAGGTTAGGCATCAGCCCAGAAGCTTGGCCTTCCAGTCACTGCAGCCCAGAGGGCTACAGCTGCTCTCAGGTGTCCACTGCGCCAGCAGCTGAGACTCTCCCCACGTGCGAACTGTAACACCGTTCTCTGCGCGGTCTCCGCCGACATGCTCACAGGTGGAGAGAAACGTTCCAGGGGGCGGAATGGGCTCTCTGGACACAGATCTGTCTTCCCTGCACGCAATGCTCCTGCCAGAACGGCCACCCTTGGACTCCAGAATGCCTTAGAACATCCTGGTACATTACACAGGATTGCTTCTGAGGGACAAACCCCACTCACAGGAAACGCAGCGCGGCATGCACCGTGCTCACCCTTCTCCTTGAGTCCTAGGAGCCGCCCAAAGGCAAAACCCAGGTGAGAGACCAGAAGCGGGAGCAGCCCGTGGAAAGACTTCCCTGAAGGGCCACCTCTTCGAACTTTTAACACTGTGGAGGGTTAGTATGAAATCGGTCAGAAAAAGTAAAATGAGAACAATTTCTGACACCTGTGAGAAAAAGGGCTTGGAGGGCAGGGGATGGCAGGGAGGCGGAAGAGAGGAGGGCAGAGAGGGTGAGCGCTGGGATACACAGCAGGGTAAGTGTGTTGAATGAATCTGTTTTCTGGTTCTTTATGGCTGAGTAATATTCCATTTTATAGAAAAAACCACATCTCCTTTATCCAGTTTCCAACTGATGGGCAAAGGGGCTGTTTCCAAGTTTTAGCTATTACAACCTGTGCCGCTATAAACATGGTTCATAGGAAAATGGATACAGATTGAAGATATACTCCTAAGTGAAATAAGTAAGTCACACATGTGTAAATACCGAATAGTCTCTCTGGTGTGAATAAACTGCAATAATACAGAAGATCCTAATGAGATAACTGACATCGTGAAATGGGAAGAAAGGGGCTAAAGGTGTAGGGAAGGTGGGACAGGTAGGGGAAGGGTAATACGGGAAAAGAAAAAAATGTGAGATAATGAGAAGATGGAAATAAAGTGTTTGTAGATGGGGAGGGGAGGAGGGGGTGAAGGGAGGGCAGGGACAAGGGGAAAAAATGAGAACCAAGACCTGTCATGCAAAGGTACAACATCCCAACAATCAATGTAGCTGTACTGTATCCCTAAAATGTACCAATAAGATCAATTAAAGCTGATAAAAAAAAGATGATAAGTGCGTTTCTGTCAGTGTCTCAGTGCAGCACTAATCTGTGGAGGATGCGAGGGAAGGGGAGCTCTGGGAAAGGAGATCCAGGAAACAATTCAGATGTTTTGCTCAGGTACCAACTCAGCACAATGAGGGTAATCATAAAGTGCTAAAAACATGCACTGGGCCCAGGGATTTAGCTCAGTGTTTCCAGAGCCTGCCTCGCAAGCGCAAGGACCCGAATTGGATCCTCAGTACCAAAAACAAAAAAAAAAAGCACTAATAGAACTTTCAAATCACGAATTTGTACACTTAAGATGTTAATAATTGCAATTTAAAAATCTTATCTGGGTAGCAAAAAAACAATAGTACAGCAAAAATACTGAAAGAGGATAGAGGATATCCAGAGGTGTCCAAAGGTGTGTTAAACAATCTGTGGTGGGTAGAGCTCGGAAGACTTTAGAAGAAAAAGCTGCATTTGTTTGGGTGCCTTAACTTCCTTGTTTGGAAGCCTCTGTGGGGGTGGGGAAAGGTCGGACTTGCAGGCTTCCTGCTGCCATAGATCCTGAACCCTGGAAAGAGTGGGGTTTAAAGAAGGGAAGGCTCCCTCTCTCCCAGAGGGACAGCACCTGGTCCAGCCTGCCTGCCACCCACCCCAGCCCTTCCTCCTTCCTGGCCTATGCTGGCCAAGTTTTCCTTGGCTGACCGCCCCTGAATACTGTCCTGCAGGAGTCCTCTAAACAGCAGGGCCAGAGCAAGAGGGATCCTCGTAAACCAACAGTGGTGGGCTTTGCAGTGTACTAATGTGTTTCACTCTACAGGTGGCTGTGTTTGCGAGGTAGGTAGGATACTTTTTGTGATTACTGACACGGATAATTTCTCCTTATTCTTCAGGAAGAGTCCTTAAGGGTTGCATCGCTTGAGAGGTGTAACGTTTTCTCTTCCCTGTAGGATTATGTGGCACCATAACCTAGCAGCTCTTCACACGGTAGCCATGTTGACATTTTCAAAATCAATGACGATTGCTGGGAGTGGTGGTGCACACCTGTAATCCCAGCACTTGAGCAGCTGAGGCAGGTGGATCGCTGTAAATTCCAGACCAGCCTGGGCTACATAGGGACTTCTAGGTCAATCTCAGCTTCATAGTGAGACCCTGTCTCAAAACAAAAAACAAACAAATAAACAAAATCACTGAGGATCCTTTGTCTCTGTGAACAGCCTGCTTATACATGTCATTTCTTTTCCCTAACACATTTCTATTTTTCATCCCATATATCCTTCATATTTTTAGGCTTTACTTAAACCCTTATCTTTTAGGTTGGAAATCCAGAATAACACTTTTTCCCCAACATTAATTTTGCAACTACAGTACATTTGTTTCTTTTTTTGGTACTGAGGATTGAACTCAGGTCCTTGCATTTGCAAGGCAGGTGGCAGAACCACTGAACTAAATCCCCAGCCCTACAGTACATTTCTTTGGTAGGGTTTGTCACATCTTATCTTTCTGATAATTGTATTCCTGTGATTTTCAAGTTGAAAGTCAAGACCATCGTGATCTTTGGAAACATGTTTGATATCTCTTTGGCATCATCTTTGTTTTTAGATTGTAGTCTAGCTGCTAGCACATAATCCATCACCATTGATCATTTGCCAGGTGGTCACATCTAGCTTTCGGGGGCTCCTCTTTTAAAGCTGACGTCCATTTTCTCTGGGATTATGTGTTTCAGGTCTCTGACATGTGTGAATCTGAAAGTATGCTTATGTCATCTCCCTCCCTAGTATACAGAGGCACATATACCAGAGGCTCATTTCCATGTCCCTGGTAAATTTCAAGGCCACCATAAAATCCTATCATTTATAAACATGATTCTCCAGAACCAACTAGCAGTCGGAAGTGTGCTTCTCCACCCATGTGGTTCTGAGTATTAGTTATGCCTGGCTAGCTGCCTCTACTGTTGTGAATAACCCTGTGTGATGGAGTAAAGACTTGTGGAGGAGGGCTGAGTGGGTTAAGTTAATTCCAGCTGAAAGTAACAAAGACAGAGTGTTATCCTGGTTCACAAGCTCAACTCTTTTCACAATTCTGGCTGAAAACTAAACTGGATGAGAAATAAATCTGATTTTCCCATAAGCTCAACATGGAACCTAAGCACTGAATTGGATTTAGTTCTCATCGGACTCAGGTTGCAACCACAATTGTGGAGAAAAATCAAGTTGATGAACCTAGGTGCGACTGTGTTGTCTTTGTTTTTTTTGTTTTTGTTTTTGTTTTGTTTTGTATTTTGAGACAGGGTCTCACTATGTAGTTGAGACTGAACTGGAACTCACTATGTAGCCCAGGCTGGTCTCGAACTCACAGCCATCCTCCTGACTCAACCTCCCAAGTACTGGGATTACAGGCGTGCGCCACCACCCCTGGCTCAGTGTATTGTCTTTGGCAGTCATTTCATCTTCTTACATCTAATGAAAAGATTAGTTTTATTTAGTGGTATGAAAAAGAAATAACTGCACATGAATAGCAAGCCACGGAACTGTTTGGATGAGGTAGTTAGAGCAGCTCTGTCTGAGAAGATGCCTTGTACAGGAAGTATAAGGTTGAGACCAAATCGATATCAAAGTTAGTGTCCTCTGAAATTAACACTTTGGTGCTTTTAAAAATAAGGATGCAATTTTGGTGGAGACAGAAAAATGCCGATTATACAAGAATTTCAGTATAAAAAGACTCCATATATCCTTCTGGCCAGTAAAAGAAGGGAACATAACAGTCATTCTATGTGTAATATCTGTTATCACATGATAGGAGCTGTGAATAAAGTTTCGGAAATTATGATGGCATAATTAGTATTGTGTCAGCAGGCATTTTTTCTTCTTTCTTTCATTCCTTTTTCATTGTTGACTTTTAGATATTTTGTTCTTGATGTCTACTTGATTATGGCCTAAGCAGTATTCATTCAGTCCCTTCCTACCCTCTGACTCTGCCGCATTTTAATCTTCCCAAACATCAGGGTCCAGAACAGGAGGAAGCTCAGGAGTCAGGACAGACAGGAGCAGGGAAACAGCTTCTATGGCTTCCTCAGTCCTGGTCAATGTGAAGGAGGAGGTGACCTGCCCCATCTGCCTGGAGCTCATGGTGGAACCTGTGAGCACCGACTGTGGCCACAGTTTCTGCAAACTGTGCATCACTGCAAACTGTGAGTCCACGGTACAAGAGCAAGGAGTGAGCACCTGCCCTGTGTGCCGAGTCACTTTCCAGTTTGAAAGCCTGAGGCCCAATCGCCAGGTGGCCAGCATAGTGGAGATGCTCAGCGGGTTGACACTGTTCCCGGAGGCAGATCACTGTGAACGCCATGGCGAGAAACTCCTGCTGTTCTGTAAGGACGATGGGAAGGTCATTTGCTGGCTTTGTGAACGTTCTCAGGAGCACCGTGGTCACGACATTTCTCTCGTGGAGGAGGCTGCACAAGAGTATGAGGTAAGAGATCAAGGTTGTGGCAAGAGAGAGTAGAAAACAATACCTGGTAGGAAATTTCCACTTCCCAATATAGTTTAATTACTTTGCTACCATAAAATGGAGGTCTGTGATTTCTGGCCGATTTTTGCTTATCTTGTGCAGCCTAAAGTAGGTACTTGTACACTCCAGTGAAACAAAGAATAAGCCTAGAGGAAGAGTTCCTAGATCAAAGTAAAAATCACTCTACCTTCTACTAGAAGGATGGAGAGCTGATGCGCAAGAGCAGACCTGATTCCCTATTTCAGCAGAATGAATGATGTGGGTTCAAAGCCAAGCTCTTTACTGGATGTAGAATCGAGTTTGTCTTCCAGGACAGAAAGAATCAGTCTAAACTTGGTGAAGGAGACAGTGATTTTATTACTCACAGAATTACTTAGAGACAAAGAAGACATTCACTTGCTCAGTGTTGGTAAACTCAGGTTTCTGGTGACATCAACCAGATTCATCCACAGTTATCCGCTATCCAGGTGCTGAGAAACTCGTAGTTTCATTCTGGCCTGATTTCTCTCTCCTAGGAGAAGCTCCACAAAGTGCTGAAGAAGCTGATGAAGGATGAGAAAGAGTTGGAGAAGTTGAAAGCTGACATCGAAGAAGAAAGAACTTCCTGGAAGGCAGGAGAAAACAATTCTAAGGGTGTTAGCCAGAATCTGGCGGGATTTTGGGAAGGAGATCCCTTCTTCTTTGTTCTCAGGAGTCATCTGATGAGTCTCATCCCTGCTTTCCCTTGTGGGAGGGCAGGCAGGAGAGTGGCTGTCACTAATGAGTGCAGCTGGTTGGGGGGAGCTGTTCACACTGAGTGAGGCTGGGGACCCTGGCCAGTGGATGCCGTCCAACGTGACTGCTGGTTTTTCAGACTGACTGGGGAGAAGATATTGACAACAGGCCGTGATTCTGACTTCAGTGGTCACCTTTGGCAGGGAGTTCACAAGTGGAGTGCGGAGTAAAGCGGGGAGGTGTGGGTGTCCTGGAAACTAAGCCACACCCAGGCATCCCATTTGGGTCAGGGTGAGCCTGGGTGATGTTGACTTAAGGTCCTTGATTTTAATGGCAGGGAGGAAATCACAAGAGAAGTATGCTTCCCTAAGAACTTCTCCTTTCTACTTGCCTTCCCCTGAGAACTCCCTGGTGAAAATAGTTCTTTTTCAGGCTTTCAAACTCAAGTGACTGAGTGCCTCTCTCTTTCTGCCCCCTGTAGAATCAAATACAGTGGGAGATAGAAAATGTCCAGACGGTGTTTAAACAACTGAGAGTCACCCTGGACGCTGAGGAGAACAGGCACCTGGAGAAACTGACTAAAGAGGAGGAACGGATTCTGAATAGCCTGGCAGAGTCTGACAAGGAGCTGACCCAGCAGACCCAGCTGGTGAGAGAGCTCATCTCAGACGTGGAGCGTCGGCTGGAGGGGGCAGTGATGGAGAAGCTGCAGGTAAGACTTCAAAAGCCGTTGCAGCATCTGAGTTTCAGGAGCATTGGAAAGCATTTCCATCTCTCCTGTGTTCCTTTCCTTTCCAGTGATGGAGGTAAAGTTCTTTGGGCTAGTCAGTAGCTCACTTCGGAACAAGTTCAGGGGTTCTGGAAATAATCGAATGTGTATGAAAAGGGCAAATCCCATTTCAGTTATTACGAAGTGCCGTGCACCAATTAAATGTTGGAGGGAAGATCCGTTGTATCCAGTGTGGTTTTAAAATTGCCCGTTTCCTGTGATCTAGTGCTAAGCATTTGCCAAGCATGTTTTCATGATTCCTGGGAATCCCTGGTAAACAAAGGAACTTCAGGTTGCAAAAGATGTTCTACTTTCCTTTCTACAATAAATTGAGACATTTTTCATTTAGTCCCAGAAAAAAACTTACCACAGGCTAGTATACTTTTCCTTTAATTATTCATTAAAATTCAGCAGTAAAATCAGGTCATGCGTATTTTTCTTTTCATTTTCTTTGCTTTTCTATAGAATTATAAATTTTTCAATTGTATTACTTCTCTCAAGTTCATTTAGATAATCTATACTTCTTAAGTTAGATTTGGGTAATACATGTCTTTGTAGAAATTAGTTCATTTTGTCTAAATTGTGAATTTTCAGGCATAGTATAAGTATAATTCTTTTTTTTTTTTTTTTTGGCACCAGGGACCGAACTAGGGTCCTTGTGCTTAATTCTTTTTATTTCTATATTATGTTAAGTTGATCTGTCAAATAAAAATTATTTATTTATTTATTTATTTATTTTTATTTATTTATTTTTTTTTGCTACACAGGATCTAACATGGGTCTTTAAGCTTGCAAGGCAGGTGGCAGAATCACTGAGCTAAATCCCCAGCATAAAAAAATCACTTATTGTTATGGCAGATAGCAAGTTCTTTAAAATTATGCATGCATTTTGGAATGTATAAATGGAGCCAGTTAACTTATTCACTACACAGTTATCTTTTTTGTGGTTACAGCAAAGTCTATTTTCTGGCAGTTTGTAGAAAATAATACATTGCTACTAAGTATGGCCACCACGTTGGAAATGAATTTCTTGAAGCTCTTCCTTCTTTCTGATTTACCTTTTCAATCTTTTGACAAATATCCGCCCATCTCTCACCCACGGGCCTTAACTCCTCCCACTGTACTTCCTGTTTCTATAAGATCACCTTTTTTTTTTTTTCTACTGGTTATTGAACTCAGGTCCTTGTGCTTGTGAGGCAGGTGAAGGAAGCACTGAGCTAAATCTCCAGCCCTATAAAATCAACTTTTGTTCACTCCACATATTGAAGTGTTCACGTGCTCTACTATTTTTGGGGGCCTGGCTCATTTCATTGACATACAACGGTCCAGGTTCATCTATGTTGCTGTAAATGACAAAATTTCAGTCCTCTTTTTTTGAACTAAAGAGGATTACACGGTATATGTACATAAGCCTTCTGTCCAGCAGGATCCGCATTCGCATAGGGGATTACATACAAAGTTGAAGCCAACTTCAAGCTGCCAATAGTTTACATGATGGACCGTATGCACCTCTTCTTTTCATATGTGCATGTCTTCAGCATGTCCAGAATCATATGTCACTTAATCCTAGCCTAACAACTATATGCAGTTTCTCTGTTTTAGCAACAACACACTTGTGTTTAATGTGGTTACCTGTTGTAATGCAGGCCAGGTGCCATCCTGGCTCAAACTTTTTGTTTACTTACAAGAGATATTCTCATTTCTTCCAAGTCTGTATCAGGAGAATCACATTACCTTCATGCAATAGGAATGCGGTCCAGATAGATTGAAACTTGAATTTTGTGAACAAGGTAGACCAGATTCTGAAGATAAGTTTGAGCTATAAAAGTCAGCAATTGCTGTAGTTAAAACTTACTATGACAGACCCTTTTTACCTCAAGACATAATTTTGTTTGGTTTATGTCATATTAATATGAGTCTACTTTTATGGAGAACAAAACTACGTGTGTGTATCTGGACCCATCTCTTGGCTTTCTTTTGCCAAAAGTTTTATAAGGAGGAAATGAGTTCGGGGGAAAGGACACCAGGTGCAAACCAAGCTCTGTGGACAATGATAAAATGAGTAGATGATTAAAACCAAGAAGGATGTGGACTGATACATACTGGAATTCTGGGTGACTATTATGATTTGGGAGTGTGAGAGAGAAAGCCTCATGCTTGGCATTAAATAGTCGACATCCTGTTTTCCTGTCCTTGTGGCTTCCTCATTCTTGTATACATTAAACTGCATTGAACTGAGAGATCCGAGTAAACATAGACTTAGAAACAAGCTCTTATACACATACATTTAATTTAATGAGTGGATAGGTGCATTTTAGTTAGCATGGAATGTGAGACGAGATTCTTGTTGTACTTATCCCCTCAGTGAAACCTGTGTACAGTAAACCTTTTCTGGAACTATAGGTCATCCTCGATTCTGCAAATCCTGCTCATCCCTAGAAAATAGCAGTGTATCGTTGCCGGTATCTGTAAAATAAGTGGGCGAACCATGTATTATTTAAATCATCTTACAGGTAGCCGTGGATGGTTGGCTTGAGTGTTATGTTTACTTTCTGTCTTTCCGACTGGGCAAATCCCCATCCTCAGCACGTTAGGGGCTTCTGGAAATGTGATAAAGCTTTGTAAGTGAGGAAAGTCCATTAATTTTAACTCATGCTGTTGTGTTTCTCACTAGGAGGTGAAGGACCCCATGGAAAGGTATGTGTGGGATGCCAAGGACTGACATTTTGTGTGAGGAGAGATTTGTAGTTATTAAATCAAGGAGTGTTCAGTGGGAATAGAACATTACCCAGGTCAGGAAAATTTAGACGTGGTGCTACCTGAACTCCTTGTCACCAAGCAGAGCTTGAGTGTTTTATGACTATGGAGAGGGGACCAGAATGAACCCGACTGTGTGCAGCGATTTGGGTGTGGAGCCAAGGTCTGGAGCAGTTGCAGTATTGAGAATTAGGTGTTACAATATCATGCTCGTCACACACCATTTATTCACTGTGGGTCCACAATGACCGCTAAGCTTTGGAACTGATAGCTGCTTGATATTTTTATAGATGGAATATATCTTCTTTACCAGCCATCAGGGATTGTCCATTGGGATAACCGATGTTTCTCCTGGAAGCGGGAGAGATCCTGTCCAAAAACACCTGAGTCTGTCAAACAGAGTTGTGGCAGAAGGGCACACAGTTGGTCCACCTTAATCGCATCCTCCTGGAGAATTGGGAAGGGCGTCCTCCTCCTCTCCGCACCTGGGTACCTGCCTGGCAGCCTCAAGCTTTTCCAAACACATGGAATTCTAAAATTCCAGCCAGTAAGAGTTTGGCGTTCCTTTGCTAAAAGTTTGTAAATTCCCAGAGAAAAACGGAAACGTGAAACCTTAGATGTTAGAGCACCTTGTGACTTGTACAGGCTTTGGAGTTTTGGGTTCTCCGGTAGGATTTCTACCCTTGATACGTTGCAGACACCCAAGAGCCAGATTCTGCAAATTTTCTTACTGATCACTTTCTCAGGACCCACACTCATGGCAGTGTAATTCTTGTATACGTTTTTTGTTTCCTCAATTTTGGGCAGGGGTTTGGTTTTAAAGTCCTTAAGAATAGAGAAACTGTGCTTCTGATTGTTATGTTCAAGGCCTTCCGTGCTTCACACAGAGTGATTGAGAAGCCAGATATATTCTTTAGGACTTGAAGAGTTTACCTCGTCACGGGGTTTGCTTTTAAAGTCCTTAAGAATAGAGAAGCTGTGCTTCTGATTGTTATGTTCAAGACCTTCCCTGCTTCACACAGAGTGATTGAGAAGCCAGATGTATTCTTTAGGACTTGAAGAGTTTACCTCGTCCCTTCTCAGGATCCCCAGGGAAGAGAGTTCAAGTGCAGAAGTGAGATGCGCTGATAGGTGTCAGTGGTGTTGGAAGGACACAGGGGTGAGAGGTGGACTTCACTTTATTTCCTCTCTAGGAGTAAGTCGTTGACTCCGAAGAAACCAAAAACTTTTCCCAGGACAAAAAGGATGGTGCTCCAAGCTCCCGATCTGAAAGGGATGCTACAGATGCATGAAGGTGAGCAGCGCCGAGTGGGCACTGTCCTACACGCCTGCCTGTCATCCTCGCTCTTCGGGAGGCTGAGGCAGGGAGATTGCAAGTTCAAGTCTCGCCTGAACAATTGTGCAAGTTGATGACATTCTGTCTCAAAAGCAAACTTAAAAAGTGTGGAAACCTACTCAGTGTTAGAGCACCTAGCTGGCAGACACAGTGGGTCCGGGGTGTAATCACTAATACCCCCCAAATGGGAGGAGAGTGGTGAGTGAGGAAAGCTTGGCTGGGTGTGTGGCTGGGGGATCCTAGAGAGGGCAGGACTGATGAGGAAGAGACAGCAGTGCCTAGGGCTGGATGGAGGAGAGAAGGGCAAATGTCTCTTCGGGCGATGCGATCACATGGGGAATGAGCATTCGTCCTTGGTCCCCAGTTCACCGGCTGGTCATTGTCATCTTCAGGCGATGGGATCACATGGGGAACGAGCATTCGTCTTTGGTCCCCAGTTCACTGGCTGGTCATTGTCCCCTGCCTTCCCCCAGACTGGACAGGAAATGGGTGTCTCGTTTGCTTGAATTTAACGCGATACATTTTTGTCATTTCAGAGCTGATGGAGGTCCGACGCCACTGGGGTAAGGGGAAATCATAAAATCCTAAGCCACCCTCTCCTCCACATATTTCAGAAGTTATTTGTCGTGTTTGGAGACCCATGTGTCACCTCCCAACACACACACGTACAGCATGTCTGCACATGTACTACCCCTGCTTCTGGCTTCTGAGTGAAGCTTCTCCACTCCTTTCTCAGGATCTTCCCTGGAATCCTCTCCTGACATCACACATCTTATGTCCCTCACGCATCCTTGTAATTTTTCAACAGTTTCCGTGACATTGGCTCCAAGCAACAATCGATTCATTGGCAATTGTGCATTGTGGAGAAATGGTAGACTTATACAAGCAAATGATCTTTTCCAGACATGGAATTCTCACAGTGGCTTCCTGGGCACCCCAGCTATCACATCAGGGAAGCATTACTGGGAGGTGGATGTGACTAAGTCTTGTGACTGGTTCCTGGGAGTAAGTGAGGGAAGGTACCTCAACACCACATTCAAGGACAGTGTTTCATGTTATCAACCTAATTCGGGCTACTGGGTCATAGGGCAGCAGAATAACGATAACTATAAAGCTTTTGATGAGAGTTACACCTCTGATCCCTTGACCTTGGCCCTTTCCCTGACTGTGCCTCCAAAACGTGTTGGAGTTTTTCTAGACTATGGGGCTCGTACCGTCTCATTCTACAATGTGACAAACCATGGCTTTCTCATCTATAAATTCTCCAACTGTTCCTTTTCTGGTAATGTTTTTCCATTTTTCAGTCCTAGGATGTCTGTAGTACCTGTGCCATACTGTGAGCCAAGCGTTTGAACTTTCTTCTACCCTCTCTCTCTTCTGTGCCCCGCCTCTAGCTGAGGTGTGCATGTCCTGCCCCCAAGGAGGCCTGCTCCGTTTTCACCGCTTTGCCTGCTGTCTCCTGCTCTTCCTTTTGGGGCCTTCACTCACAGTAGGGTGTACAAATGCTCTGGTGCCATGTTCTTCCCGATAGCTCATTTGCTCAGGAGAGAATCTTCATGCAGCCTTTCTGATACTCTGAAGGGATTGACTGATTCCTCATTAAGAAAAACCACTGTTGAGGTTAACCACGGTGCCAGATCTTTATAGCCCCTTTGTGTGGCACTGATAAACGATCAAGGGAGGGAGGGGCATTTAGCTCAGGTTCTGCCTCCTGCCTCACAAGCACAAGGACCCGAGTTGGATCCCTGGTACCTCCCCCAAAATAATAAGGGAAGTCTTCAACCAATTTTCTGTGTATTGGAGACTATATATATTATGGAGATTTCTATGTATTGTGCGTAGGAGTTTCTCAGGAAAGAATGAGCCCTTAGCAGTGCAGTATGTCACTCTGACCAGGATGCTTCTTACTCATCCAAGGATGAGGAAGATAGTATCATCATGGAATGCAGGGAGATTAGATCTTTTGCAAATGGGATGGGACTAAGAGGTGGAGGCAGGGGGACGAGAGAAGAGAGGAAATTAAAATGTGTTATGTATATGTAGCAACTCCCCATGATGAATGTAACGTTACATACTGCAAACGTGCAAATAAAAGCAAACATTTAAATTAAGAAAATGAAAGATATCTTCAGTGGTATATACTAAGAATAGAGATCTAAGTTCACATCCCTTCTGTCTGTATACCAGCCGTATAAGTTTTTAAAATATTCTTAAATATTTGTTTGTATTTTCTTACAACAGTTTTGGTTTGAGCTGATAACTTCGATCACTCTGAGAGAACAAAGTGAGTTTTAAGCATCCACCGAGTGTCTCATAACTATCGTAATAGTTGAAAAATGTAGGAAGTATCAGTGTCCCACGAAGCAGGTCGTGCAGAGGGGAACTGCAGTTGATCTTAGAGAAGACTCATTTCTAGGCCCCAGATACCAGTGTGCCATTCTCAGAACCACTCGTTTTGCTGTATACATTTTTCCTCACAGTTTGGAGGAGTTGTGTGTGTGTAATTCTGGAATTACCACCTAGTGGTCCCTGTAAAATATAGTGTGTGGGATTCAGATTACCATTTGTTAAAAAAATGGATAAAATTAGAATAATGAAATTTCTCGCGTAGCATCATTGTAAAAACCAAACAACAGACTTTTTAGTTACTCATGTCCCTGGAACATCCAGCTTGGTATCTAAATTTTTGACTTATTCTCATTTAACTAAAATAAATGATTTTAAAGCATATGTATCAGTTTGCTTGCAGAAACTTTACCCCCAAGTTTTGTTTAAACAATAGAATGTGCTTAAAAATTATAAAAATAAATGGCTGGGTTTGGTGGCTCACAGCCTGTAATCCCAGCACTCAGGAGGCTGAGGCAGGAGCATCACTGTGAGTTCAAGACCAGCCTGGGCTACATAGTGAGCTCCAGGTCAGTCTCAACTACATAGTGAGACCCTGTCTCAAAAAACCAAAAAAATAAAAAATAAGAAAATAAAAATCAGAACCAAGATTGATTATGTAAAGGTACACATTTCCAACAATGAATGTCATTGTATTGTATACATTAAATACATCAATAACATTAATTTTAAAAATTGCAGATTTTTTATTAATAGTAATTTGTAGTCTGTTTTGTTACTAACTTCATGATATGAAAACTTTTTCATATTTCTACAAAATTTCCTTTCATCAGAAACCCTTTTCTGTATCTTAAAATAAATGTAATGTAATTAATTAATTGTATCTTTTATAGTATTGGGATGGAACCTATGGCCTTCACTCTGAGGTACATACTGCTACACCCCCAGCTGTTTTCCAGCTTTTGTTCTGTGGTCCCTTCTCGTTATGCTGCCCAGGCTGAACTGGGACTTGTGACACTCCGGACTCCAATTCCCAGAAATTTGGGATTAGAGCTTGTGCCGGGGTGCCAGAGCAATAGAGTGTTTGTTCTGCACGGTGATACGGGCAGTCACAGCACATCTGGAGCATGTCTCCACAGCAGTGTGTGAGTACTCTGTGTGTCCTGGTTGCCTTTGGTCTTTCATTGAGATGGAAGTTTGTGGTATTTCACATGAATGGGGAAAACGCCTGTTGTCCTCCTTCAGTGAAACAGAAGCAGAATTGTTCTGCAGTGAATACAGTGCTGGTGGGGTCCTCTTGCATGTTTACACTTTGACCTCCATCTCTTCCTCAGCTGACTTGTAAGGTGGAGGAAAAAAAGAAACAGTTGCATGCTTTGTCAAGTAGTATCTGTTTGGATCAGTGCCTGGCCACTAATATATCCCAAATTCTGAGTCTTCAGGTGCTCTTGATGGAGAAGAGATTCCAAGGTGGATATTGTCAATCCGTGTGCCTGTGCAGGTTTATATGCCCACACCCCTACCTTAGCACTCTTATAAAGTTTCTCTTACACCCCACCTTCCTGTCACCCACTGCAAAGGTGACCTTGGCTCTCACTCACCAGGAATAGTCTGGACTATCTTAATTGACACGTCAGTGTCTGAGGGCATTGTGTCCTTTCATTCCCTGAAATACCTATCTCCCAGTGCAGAATGAAGTGCACAGTTACAAGGAAATAAAGATCTGAAGTTGTATACATGTCACACATACCACAGAAACATACAGAGAAATACCCATTTTTTAACAGTGGCTCCTGTCACCAGAAAGGGAAATCTGCAGAAGAGAATATAAAGTTTATGAATGCTCCTAGCTTCACTCCCTTTTCTATGTGAAAGGCTGAGGCATCAAAGACTCAAAATTCCAACCGGTACCATCTATGGATCAGTTTCTCCCTGTTGTCCAGTGCCAGGTCCATTTTCAGTCCCAGCACCCACTCCCTACTCCTTTACTTACACATGCATATGACTCATATAAGTTTCCTCACTGTCATGCTGGGGTCCATAACGCTGTCAATCACAGTCTTTTGTGTAAAGACAATAACAAAGTTGTAGTTCTCATATAGTGAGCTACAAGGTTCTCTACACAACCAGACACAGTAACCACTTTCAGAAGATCAAAGTGGGGGTAGTGGTCTGTTACTTTTCTTTAGTTGCTGAGACAAAATATGTGACACTCAAAGTTAGAGGGGAAGGGGTTTATTCAGCTCACATTTCAGGGATGTTTCAGTCCATAATCAGCTGGCTCCAAGAAAGGAATGGCAAACCGGTCTCAGGAGAAAAAATATGGCATGCACAAGGTATGAAGGCAGCAAGGTAGTTTAACAACATCTTTCTGTCCCTTTTATCTTATTCAGACTACGGGATTAGGGTGATGATTAACTAATCACTCACATGTAGTGCTTTAGTAATCACACACCCTTAACCTCAGCATCACACATTCCTAATTCAACTACCTCTGAAAAACTACATTCCCACCTCATCTGCATGAGGTTTTGGGAAATATCTAAACACAAACCACAAAGTGATCACTCTTGTTATCCTATACCTGAAGTGCTAGAAGGTATCAAGTATTAAAAAATGCTTAAGGGCTGGGAATTTAGCTCAGTGGTGCCACTGCCTGCCTCGCAAGTGCAAGGTCCTGAGTTGGATCCCTGGTACCAAAGACAAAAACAAAAAAGATGCTTACATTGTGATGTGAAGTTAATTAATTTTGTTATATGAATGGAGATAAAGGGAAAAATAAAGATCTGATGCATACACAAGCAATAAGTAGAAATACTTAGGACAATCACAGTCCTCCCTTCTGTGTCTTTTCACACAGTCATAGATTGTTATAACCACCCATTCTTCCACTACCTCCTTTACACCAAAAAGCAGCTCAGCTGGTTGTGTGGTTCTTTCTCTGGTGAGATGACTCCAAGCTTTCTTTCCTGAGAGACTGGATATTCTACTTCCCAATTTCAGTTTGTATTACATTTAAGCTGCTATAACAAAATATTGACCATGTAGCATAAACAACAGAAATCTACTCACAGTTCTGGGAACTGAAAAATTCAAGATTAAGCTGCCAGCGGGATCAGTTGTGTTAAGGCTTCTGAATGCTTAGCAGAAATTATTTCATAGTGGGTCATAAATAAATGCTTGTTGAAGTAAAATAGGTTCCTTTCGATCCTTAGATGACAAAACCCTGGAGACATTTCACAATGACAGCTAAAATTGAGGGATTGAACAAGCCTCTTGTTTCAGTGGTTTCTCCCATGGCCAGGCTTGCCTGACACTTCTTCCCATCTCCCCTCAGAGAGGTGTCATCATTAACTTAGATTTGAGTCCATTGTATAGAGTACAAGCTAGTAACCTACTTGGGTAGGCTATATCTCCAATACAAATTACATACGTACCTGAAAGTCATAGATATCCAGCCTGGGTATTCTGTGTAATACTTCCAACAGGAAAAGAATCCACACAACCTCCAATTCTTAATAGGAGAAAAGGGGCAGAAAGATGCTCTGAAACTCCCTTGTTGCCTTTCCTGCCTTGAGCTTGCCATGTTGTTTCTCTGCTGCGAGGCCTGTTTGCCATCCCTGCCTTGAAGCCAGCTGACAATAGAGACTAAAACATCCGTGAAATGTGAGCTAAATAAACCCCTTCCCCTTCTAACTTTGGGTGTCAGATATTTTGTCTTAGCAAGGAGAGAAAAGTAGCTGACACAGAGCATTACCCACACTCTGAGCTTCTCGAAATAATTACTGTGTGGTGTTAAATACAGAACCTGTAATTCGACCAGTGAGGAAGTCTATTTTCAAAACTTGGTGTCCAAAATATAGAGTTTAGTCCTTGTCCTCAAACCTTTCCTTGTGCTAAAACAAAACATGGAACTGTACTGGAAATCAATTTCCACATATTTAAAAGCAGAATCAGAATTTGGAAGTGCTTATTTTAAACACACATTCTAAAGAGTAAGTGGAGCAACATTTATCACATTAATATGGAGAAAATAAATATTTTTCTATGACTCCTCTGAAATTTTCTGCTTTGTTTGTTATAAATCCAGGCAGATTCCCACCAGGCAAAATATAGGGTTTATCTATTGACTAAAATGACTTCCATTTATTTTGTAATTCATTGAGTGTGCATTACGATAGGAATGTTTTATGGATTGCTAGGAACACTGCAAGCACTGGGAATACTTTGGTAAACAAGACAGATCCCAATCTAGTCTTCAGTGACCGAACAAAGAAGAAAGGGCAAAGACATTTTAAAATCTAAATATACATGTAATCATCATATCAAAGTTGTGATGTCTCAAAAGTAAACATGTGATGAGAATGTACACAAGAGCTACTAATCTAATATACAGGATTAAATGAGATATCTAAGGAAGGAATTTTTGTTTTGTTTTGTTTTTTTGGTACTGGGGATCAAACTCGGGTCCTTGCGCTTGCAAGGCAGGCCACCGAACCGCTGAGCTAAATCCCCAGCCCTAAGGAAGGAATTTTGATTAAAGCCTAAATAGGAGTTGCCAAGTAAAGAACTGTGAAGAGAAAGAACAAGGAGAAAGTTCATGTATTTGAGAGAACCTAAAAATTTGAAAGTTTTGTGGCTGAATTGTTGTAATTCATTAACAGTACGTAGTATGAGACTTCCCTGTGGGGCCATTTCCACCAACTTCTTCAAAATACAGAGCTACTCTGCTAAAATTACAATTTTTTTTTTTCAATTGAGTATGTAGGTGAGACAAGGAAGATTAGGACATACATAAGACAATGGCTAAAACAATGAATCTAGGCTGTAGAGCAGAGAAAAAACAAATAAGGGTAAAGCCTAGGTGGAAGAGATTTCTGATGAAGAATAAGCTTGCATAAAACATACGCTGAGGATATATAGTGCGTCAGACATTTTCATTGGGTAGAATGTAAGAAGATGCAAAAGTCTAAGTGTCAGCCTTCAAGGAGCATATGAAATAGGGGCTGGAGAGATGTGGTTTTTCTATAAAATGGAATACTACTCAGCCATCAAGAATGAGAAATTAGTCATTCACGGGAAAATGGACACATATTGAGGATATACTCCTAAGTGAAATAAATAAATCACACATGTGTAAATACTGAATAGTTTCTCTGGTGTGAAAAACTATAATAGTATACAAGATCCTAATGGGATAATTAAGAGTGTGAAATAGGAAGAAAAAGGCTTAAGGTGTAGGGAAAGGGGGAAGGGTAGGGACAAGGAAATAAGGGAAAAGAAAAAATATGAGAAAATGAAAAATTGGAAATAAAGACTTTGTTAATGGGGAGGAGAGGAGGGGGTGAAGGGAGGGCAGGGACAAGGGGAAAAAATGAGAACCAAGACCTGTCATGTGAAGGTACAAGATCCCAGTAATGAATGTAACTGTATTGTAGACCTACATTGTACCAATAAACTCAATAAAAAGGAAAAAAAAATATGAAGGCTTTTAATAGTGGCATAAATAAAGCAGCCCTGGCATGGGTGTCTTCTGAGCTGCCAAAGGGCACTGCAGACAACAAAGAAAATAACACAGGCACACAGATATGGACACAGAATCACACATCAGAATGCTAAATTTGTTCTTCCCTTACACATAACTTAATTTGCTCCTCATGATTGAACATATGGTTTTATTTCCAATGGAGATGTTAGGCAATTTTATTATCCTGGGTCAGTTTCCAAAGAGGAGTGTGGATGGTTCCCACCCAGTTCCACCCTGAAACACCACACCTACAGCTAATTTTATTTTGCATGAAATAATGAGATGCCAAGTGTGACAACACAAAAGAGAAACATCTCCACTGAAATTATTTGTTCAAAGGAGTCGGTAAAGTGCAAATGAAGTGTAAAAAGAAATGTAAGTTAAGTGATATAAATAACATACAAGAAGTTTCCTTTTTCATTTAACCCTTTATTCCCCACAATGATTTTTTTTAAATTTAAATTTTATTGAGTTTATTGGTACATTTTAGGGATACAGTACAGTTACATTCATTGTTGGGATCATGTACCTTTACATGGCAAGTCTTGATTCTCATTTTTTCCCCTTACCTCTGCCCTCCCTTCACCCCCTCCTCCCCTCCCCATCTACAAACACTTTATTTTCATCTTTTCATTCTCTCACATTTTTTTCTTTTTCCTTTTTGTTCTTCCCCTACGTATCACACCTTCCCTACACCTTTAGCTCCTTTCTTCAAATTTCTAAATGTCAGTAATCTTATTAGAATCTTATGCATTGTTGCAGAATATTCACACCAGGGAAACTATTTGGGATTTACACATGTGGGACTTATTTATTTCACTTAGGAGTTTATCTTCAATATGTATCCATTTTCCTATGAATGAATCTATTCTCTCTCTCTTTATGGCTGAGTAATATTCCATTTTATAGAAAAACCACAACTTCTTTATCCAGTTTCCAACGGATGGGCAAATAGGTTGTTTCCAAGATTTAGCTATTACAAACTGTGCTGCTATAAACATGGGTGCACATACTTCTCTGTGATATGATTCTTTTAGTTCTCTTGGAAGGATACCCAGCAGAGGGATGGCTGGGTCAAATGGAACCTCCAGTCCAAGCTCTTTGAGGTATCTCCATATCGATTTCCATAGTGGTTGCACTAGTCTGCACTCCCACCAGCAATGGAGGAGGGTTCCTTTCTCCCCACAACCCCGCCAACATTTGTTATTGTGTGATTTCTTGATAGCAGCCATTCTTCCCACAATGATTTTTTAAAAGGATAATTTTTATACATAGTCCCGAAGACAATGGAATTACTGACGAGTTACCAGGAGAAAAATGACACAATCATATACAAATTGTAAAACTTTTACAGAGAGAGTGAATGAGTTGGAAGAGGCAAAGTTGGAACACCTTCAAAAAGCACACTTTGAAATACTCTGAGAGACAGGTAATGGCTCTCTCGATGCTTGGTGTCATATAACAAAGGCCTATAGAGCTCCTGGAATGACATAAAATCATCTCAAACTTATTCAATTCAAATGTTGAGTTAATTTTGTTGGTAGGTAGTATAGGAGGAATGAAATATAGCCCACAGGTTTTGGGGTTGGTATTCATGTTTTTCATGGTGTTATTTACCACAAAGGAAGACATTAAAAGAGAAAGAGAACTCTCGTGAGGCACAACCTGGACTGAATGCAGGGGTGATGTGCTACTGAGCTAACTCCTAGTCCTTTTTATTTTTTATTTTGAGGCAGGGTCTTGCTGTCCTATCCAGGTTGGTCTTGAACTAGGCTGGTCCTGTGTCTGTCTCCCAAATTGCTGGGATTTTGGGCACCTGACTGACAAAACTTTGTAAAAATTTGTAAAAGGGCAGCGACTTTCAGGTCAGTTTTAAAGAAATTAATTTAGAGGAATTTATAAGCCATTTGTTTTAGTAGGTTTCCAGAAAGTGTTTATAGAGATCAGAGTTCAAATTCATACAGAACTAGGCTTAGCTCCTATATCTATTAATTATCTTTCTGTATTCTTTATAAGTTCCTGTCTTTTCATTTCTAAGCCAAATTAACTAATATTAGTCTTTCATAATTATTTTTAATTAAATATATTAATATTCCTACAATAAAATCAAGGAGTGATAGAAAAGGAACAAGATTGGCTTTTCCTGCAATATGCAACTGATGTACATAGGTACAAAAATAAGCAACTCCATGTAATCCAAGGTGCATATCAGAAAAATACAGCAACTTGAAGACGGGGGAACAGACATTAATGATGTGTATAACATCTACTCTAAAGAACCACGCATCTCTAAGACTGATGATTATAATAGAGAGAATTGACAACTACTTCCCAAGACAAGGCTTTGCTTTTTTTTTTGTTTTTTCTTGGTACCGGGGATGGAACTCAGGACCTTACACTTGCAACACTTGCAAGGCAGGCAGGGCACCACTGAGCTAAATCCCCAGCCCAAGGCTTTGTTTTTAATGCAAAAGCTCGAAAAACAAACAAACAAACAACAACAAAAAACCATAAGAGTGAGCTATATGTCAGGAAGTATTTATCTTTGAAACATCATCAAATTCAGCAAGACAAATAAAAATATGAGCATCGATGCTTGTTGGAACCCATCATCTCGCTCACAAAAAGGATGGCATACCTACCTAAAGAAAACCCTTGATTTTCCACAAATGAAGATTTTTTCCCCCTTTTCCCTCTTGCCTCTACTTCATACATGCGCAGAATGCTTACATCTCAAACTTACAGGTTTATCTGTCTCCACACGTTATATAACATTTCACCAAATCAATTTCATCTCAATCTCTCCTTCAGTGTCCACTCAGTGTGTCTTCTTCAGAGAGAAGTACAGATTTGTCTTGGATCTGCTGGGTCTTCAGTCCATAAACACTTTCCGAGACAGTCCTCACCTCTGCAGTACATGCCCAGAGGGAAGACATGACCCAGATTCCTTAGGATATGGGGAAGGAAAGACAGCAAGGAGAAGTTGGTTTGCAGGACACTGGAATATGATGGAAAAATCTTAGGTCCTAGGACATGTTTGAAAAGTTCACTCCCTGTAGACATTAATGAACCAGCAGTAGGTCAAGGTAATGGCTACAATGCAGTTAATACTGCATTCCTGGTGTACTGTCAGGTGTCATGATGGGTACAGACCTTTAAGAGTGTTCAAAGATAAAATAGCCCACTGCAGCTCACAGTGCTGTAGATTTGGCACCACTGGTATGGACTGGATGGTTACGCCCATGAATTTTGAAGTCAGACAGGATTTCATTAACATAACAATTTTGCTATTCACTGGTCTGGGAGAGTGAGAACCACTTCTAAGCCTGCTTCATTCAACTTGTTAGTCTTGAGACATTGGGGTAATATCTAATAGGCTTGTATCCTCTCCTTCTCCCCCTCCCTCCTCTCCTCTCTCCCTTCCTCCCACCCTCTCACCTCTCCCCCTCTTCTCTCTCTCTCTCCTTGTGTCTCATTAAGAAGCCTACAGCCTTGGACTTCTGAGTGTTGGACTGCAAGCAGATATCACCACCTGTGGCTGTACATTTTTTTTTTTTTTTTTAATGAGACTGGGTCTCACTATGAAGTTCAGGCTGGCCTTCAACTCCCTATTTAACCCAAGCTAGGTTCAAACTTGCCTCCTCTTGTCTTCGTTTCCCAAGTGCTGGGGTTACAGGTATGCACCACCACAGCCAGCTTGTATATTCATTTAACTGCTTGATAGGAGTTCCTTTTTCTTTTGATATTTTTGAAAATTAACTGATAAAGAACCTGTATGTAAATATATTTATGTAAATGACTATTACACTTCTATATGTGTTGGGTGTATGAGTGTGTGTGTGTGTGTGTGTGTATTTATATATTAATTCCCAGATCAAGCATGTTTTTTTTCATTCCAGTTGGGCTCTGTAAAAATTTATACAGCATACCTTCTCTAACTTATGAAGCATAATTCTCAAAGAATAGTTGGTGCTTTTGCTGTTCCAAGTTCCTTTTTAAAAAATGAAAAGTGTATGGGCTGGTAATTAACAGTAGTCATTCAGGAAATGTCCTGAGCACTAGAAGACTGTCCTGTACAGCAGCTGTCCCGAGAAATGGCTCCTTGTATTGGACAGATTATGGACACCCATTCTTTGAGTTTTCCAACCCATTTATCATAAAGGGCTTTTAAAAAAGTACCAGCCTCAGTATAAAAAGTTGTATAAAGCAAAACTCGAGTAGTCTTGACAGCAGAATCTAAAACTTGAAAAATGAAACTTTGGTAGAAAGATTATTATTATAAAGGCACAAATCTATTGCATAGGACAGTAACATAGCTTATTTTCAGTAATCACAAATGCACTTATTTATTATGAGGTACAAAATACTTTAAATAGATATTTTACATTTTGTGACATTTGCTTCCTCACAATGAGCTTGTCAGGTGCAACTGCAAATCCCAATTTGTATTTTAGGAAAAAACAAACCTAGAATTCATCTATGACCAGAACTTCACACAGCTTATGAAAGAAGAGACAGGATTTGAATTGAAATAGGCTGGATATAACTCTGGGTGTGCCTACTGCTTACTCTGTTTTATTTTCCTGTATTCCCAGATGAACCTGGGGTATCACAAAGTGATATTTGTTCAAAGCGTCTTGAGATGTTGTGGCGGAGTTCATGAGGAGGACTCCTACGGACTACCCAAAATAATACGGATATGCAACGAAGCTAACAGGCTTTCCAAGTATCTTCAGATCAGTGATCAAGAGGAATGTGGAGAAATATGAGCCGTGGATGTTACACCAGTACAGACCCATCTCTGGGCGGGATTGATGTCTGTGAAAGAGTAAATATGTTTCTCTCCTAATTCAAGCAAAATACTCTGGATGTCTCAAGGAAGAGTAATAGTTCCAAAGGACGGAAGAGAAACCACAAGGAAGAGGTGGTCTGAACAGTACAGATGTGCCCTGACCCCGGAGATGATCCTTAAGACAGCGTATCACAGGTAGATGAAGGAATGAGAACATTCAGGAGCTGGGTGGGCACAAAGTCAAGGGAGCTGGACAGTTCCAAGGATTGAAATACGGATAAACGGGCTGAGAATAGGAACATTTACAGAATTTGTAGATAAGTGACCCATGGTTTGTGATATTAAAAAATGAGACGGTGCCTGCTTCAAAGTTGAGGAAAATTCCAACACGATGGAGAGGAGTAGCCACAGAGAGGGTCAAAATCTTAGGATCAAAGGTAGACGTTTCATCGAAGGCATAATACTCCAATTTCTTCTGCAACCCTATAACCCAATAGCCATACTGAGGTCTGTATCTAGAGTAATTTTTTGAATGGGTTGTGCTTTGATTAATAGCAAACGTTATGGAGCGTTTTCTACAGTATACTCCCAGGATCCAGGCAGTCTTATAGGAAACATCTATTTCCCAATAATGTTTCCCTGAGGAGAAATATTGCGAGGCTAAAATGCCATAGTTATAACACTTAAATGGCCAAATTGGCACAGGTCTCACTTGTCTGTGATCTTCCGAAAGGACAAGATTCAAATTTAGGTTCACTGGATTCAGTGTAAAGTCCACTGCAGGAGAAAAAAGAAGAAAGGTCAGGCAACAGATCTGAAATAGGTTCATCTGGTGATACCTTGAAAAGGGAACTTGGGACATTTTGTGTGGATGTACTGGGGGAGGAGGTAAAATGCTAGAGAAACGCACAGTTCACATGTGAGAATGCATGAGACAAGATGATAAAATCTTGTTGTAATCACAGTTTTGAAAGGCGAGTCACATCACAGTGATTTGTGCGTGTGTGTCAGGGGCGGAACTGGGAACTGAACTCAGAACCTTTGCACTGAGCTACATCCCTAGTCCTTTATAATTTTTCCCCCATTTGGAAGACATGGTGACACCACAGTGCCCAGGCTGTGCTCATACTTGTGCTCTTCCTGCTTTAGTCCCCCAGGATACTAGAATTATGGGCGTGTACTACCACTCTCAGAACACAGTGATCTGAAGATCCAATAGCTTCTTACCCCAGTAGCTTTGGACATCTTTTAGCTCTGAAATGATAAAAGATTCAATGTTTTTGATCAGAAGCAAAAAAAAAAAAAAAGCACTGATACCTCTTCTCTGAAGTAGAGGCTAAGGAGGGAGTATTGTGACAATATGCCCTGGTAAATGAGAAGCTGAATCAGACACCTAAGCCATTCTCCTCAGACACACCTGCAGCCTCTTCATCACAGAACACCTCTTCTGATCCCCTGATCCCCTCCTCAACTCCATCTTTACTTTACAGCTATCCTAGCTCCCTTGATGTCACAAGAATCCCACATCCACTCTCTTCTCATAGCTCCTCTCACCTCTAAACATCCATAGCATCCTGCTCAGGTCTGGAGCATGAAACACACTCTTCAGCTTCTTCGAAGGAGTTTTTGGCTTCTTCAGCGTCCAGATCTCACTCCTAGGGATAAAGAAACATCTTGAGCTGCACATTTCACGTGTCTCTCTCCAACACCATGTGCTCACTCTCTTCCCACATCATAGGTGTTTTTTATGCCCCTTCCCTGGGGAGGCTGAGGGGAAGCCTGACCCTGGATTGAGGAGGAATATGCTGTGTGAATTATACTTCTGTTCACCTTCTGTGTGACCTAGGAAGTCTCCATCTCTTGAAAGCACAATTCCCTCTTCTAAAAGTGGAATAAATTTACCCTTCCTTTGATAACTGATGAAAAAAATAGTACAAAATCAGGTCAAACGGTACACAGAAAAAGCCTTTGCTACCTCTAAGAAAGTTATGTGATGTGGAAAAGTCATTCTATCACCATGGGTCTTCCAGGGAAGGCCAGAGGTGTGGCACTCTAAGCAAATCAATAGCGGACGATAGATCTTGGCTGTGATGCGGAATTCAAACAGAAAGTCTGTGAGTCTGTGTATTAATCCAAAGCCTGGACACTGCTGGTAGTCTATTAGAGATTTCATATTGCCCTTTCATGCAATAAAACAGGTAGCAAGCAATGAAAGTTGCAGAATAAGATACAGGGCCATAAGGTAAATTAAATGAGTGAAGTCACAGAGGTCTGATTGTGAAACCCCTAATCCCTATTATAATTTCTGGCTTTAACTCTGAACATCAACCATCCAATTCTAGCACAGAAATCGGTTCCATCCTAAGTAGGTATGAAACATTCAAGTCTTTTACCTGTGACCACCAATTTAAGACAATATGATATCCAAATTTTCCTTTTCCAGTAGATTTTTTCACTCTGATCAAAATATTTCTAATGACTACAAATGTTTCTTTATAAAACCAAAGCATTCTTGATTACCCATACATACCATTTCATAATTCCACTCATGTCCTAGAAAAAAGAGAGACAACATGAATCACAGGGATGAAGACTAGAGCAGAACTAATGAAAAAAGAATAAAAAACCAAATGGAAAAATCAAAAGTGAGTTGTTTAAAAATTAGTGGATTTTTTTTCACTAGACACATCAAGAGAAAAGAGAAAGGAAGTGAATTATTTAAGTCAGAAATGAAGTATGGAGCATTGCAATTGATTTTAGAAAAATCAAGACTTACAAGGAGACTGGGATGTGTAACTCAGGGGCAGAGCTCTTGCTTGGCAAGTGCAACACGATGGGTTCAATTCCCAGGATAACACACACACACACACAAACACACACACACAAATTATAAACTATGAACATTTTTGTACAAACAAATTAGATAGTCTAGAAGAAATGAATAAATTCCTGGGAGCACAGACACTATCCATACTGATTCAAAATGGCAGAAAATGGTGAATGGACTTAAAATATGTAAAGAGGTTGGACCAAAAGTCACAGATTTCTTACAAAGAAAATGCCAGACTCTGATGGCTTCCGATAGTGAATTTCACTAAAAGTTTGAAGATATGTTAACAATATCTCAGAAATTCTTCCAAAAATAAAAAAGAACACTTTGCAAAGAATTATATGAGATCACTCCCACCCTGATACTAAAATCACACAAAAATAACAGAAGAAAAAAAATACAAGCCAAAATTCCTTATGAATATAGACATAAAATTCTTCATCCAAATAGAAAATTGAATACAGAAAAATAACAAAAAATTCTTGGCCATTATAATCATGCTCAAGTGGGATTTAACCAAGAACTGAAGATTTGTTTTAGCATAAGAAAATTTAGATAATATAACTTGGTAATAAAATCTAGAATAAAAACCACATGATGCTCTCAATAGATAGCAGAAAAAAATCTGACAAAATTCCACACATTTTCATGATACAGTGGACCCTTGAATTAGGACCAGCCCAACATGAGAACAACTAGGATTATGACCCGGCCAGAATTTTAGTTTTAACTTACAACCTAGGTCTTGACTTATGACCTGAATCCCAGCTGCTTGTGCTTCCAGATGGTCTCAGATACAGATTAACCCTTAAAGGGTTCTGGTACAACATCCTTCCCTGTGTGGGGTTAACTAACAAATCCTGGGCCAGTGTTTCTCTAAGGACACCAAGATCTCCTGTATATAGGAGAGAGACTTGAAGGCTGTATAGAAGAGCCTGAGTCTTCACTGACTAACTTGAGTTACAACCAGCCCTTGGGAATGAATGGAGTTCATAAATCAAGGGTCCACTGTAAAGGCCAAAGTGGAAAGGCAACAAACTCAGAGCCAAAAGGAGCTTTTCAACCTAACCAAGGGTATGTACAAAATCCCACAGTTAAATCATACATAATGGTGAAAACCTGAATGCTTTTCCCTTAAGATCAGGAAAAAAGCTAGAATGTTTGCCTTCACTTTTTCTATCCCATGTGAAAAATGACAATCCAGATAAAGGAAAGTGATAGACTATGTTTCCAAAACAGCAGGTTTATTGCTCGCTCCCACCTGCAGCAGTTCTAGTGCTGACCACTGACCCCGAAGCTCCAGATCTGAGATGAGCTCTTTCACCACCTGGCTCTGCTGAACCAGCTCATCCTCAGCCTGTGACAAACTATTCAGTGTCTTCTTTTCTTCCTCCTCCAATCTTTGTAGCTCTCTTTGCTCCTCATTGTCCAGGATTCTTCTAAGCTGATTAAATTCTCTTTGTATCCTTTGTCTCTCCATCTGTATCTGATACTGCCAGGATGGACAGAGATGTAATAAATCTGTCAGACTGAAGCCCTACCCTGCAAGTCACAGACTTCTTACAAAGGAACTGGGGGGTAATAGTTTTCAGGACTTCCAACTAGGAGGGGTGCACAAGCAAGAGAGTAATCTGAGGGGAGCTATTTTTCCTATTTTTTCTTTAGCAGCTACCCCAAGAGTTCCTTCATCTGTTTTGTCTAGGGGAACCCTCACAGAAACTGTAAAATGATGTCTGGGTTGTAGATAGTTATCCTGGGCACTATGATTCCCTGCATAATCATGTGCCCCATTTTGGGGGGAGGTATCAGGGATCGAATTTGGGTCCTTGTGCATGTGAGGCAGGTGGCAGAACCACTGATCTAAATTCCCGGCTCATCGTGCTTCCCATTTTAAACCAGGAAAACTTTAGTCTTTTTCCTAGTGTCCTCCCACAGAAGTGTGAGTGCTTCCTTGGAGAAGAGAAACAGAAAAGTATTCTCTGGTCTCATCTCCACTATATCGTCCAAGTTTGTGCCCACTTGCAAGTATCTCTGTGCACCTATAACACGTCTGCTCTCCAGCCTCAAGAACAAAACAAAGAAGAAAACTAATCAGATGACTTCTGGACTTTTTAAACTCAAAGAATAAAGACGAAGGGACTACTTAGATTAGAACCAAAGGTCCTGCCAAGGGTCCTGTCTCTGAACCCCTCATCTTGCCTTCCAAGAAATTCTGTCTTCTGTGATGTCAGCTTTCAACTTCTCAGCTTCTTGCTGCTCTTTCCTCAGCCTTCTGAGAGCTGCCTGGAGTTTCTCCTATAAGAAAGAAATGACACCAGAGTCAAGTTCTGAGCATTTTCAGCTGCTGAATAGAGGCTTGGCAGGAAAGAAATGTTAGCCTAAAAAGAGACAGATATTTAGAAACTTTGAAGTTGATGATGATTAGAATTTATGAAATGTGAGGAAATCTGAAGGCGTGAATGTGTTCATTATTGTTGAGGAAGGGAATTCATGATCTTCTCACCCACAGTAGCCTGTTCCTCTCTTTCCTCAGAGCCTGCTGTGAGAGAAGTACTTTCCTCTTACCGAGGCTGTTTCCATAGCCAAGTTATAATACTTCTCGGCTATCATCCAGCCAAGGCGAGCAATGAGGGCCAACCTTGGGAAGAAAGGTTATATAAAGGGAAGTGGGGCAGAGGGGATCCCAAACTTCCTACTCTTGGCCAAGATACTGTATGTACGCTAGTGAGGTTCACTCTTTCTGTAAAAGGAAGGAACACACTGAAATGTGCTCTATTCATTGGAACGTGAATGTAGAATACGAGACATACAGGAAAGAGATCTCAGGATTCCGTGTTATGGCATCAATGTGAATGAAGAAGGAAAACAAAAAAGATGAGACTTCTTACCAAGGACCTGCCTGTCCCCTCCATTAGCACCATACCTGACACTCGTTGGCCGCCTCGTCCATGAGGAGTGTGTGGTGACCACGGTGTTCCCGAGAATGCTCGCAAAGCCAGCAAATGATCTTTCGATCCACCTCACAGAAGAGCTGAAGTTTCTCTCCATGGAGTGCACAGAGATCTCTCTTCTTCCCAAGGCCCGTGCTCAACTTTGCATTTCTGAGTTTCTCCACTACGTCAGCCAGGTGCTGGTTAACCCACAGACTTCCAAGTGGGTACCTGACACCACACACAGGACAGCCGCTTTCCTTTCCTGAGCCAGTATCTGCATCCTTGTTGTCCACAGTGATGCATGCTTGGCAAAGGCTGTGACCACAGCCCAGACTCAATGGTTCTGTCAGCAGTTTCAGGCAGACGGGGCAGATCACCTCCACCTCTAGGTTCGCCAGGACTGTGGAAGCCATTTATCCTTCTTCCTGTCCTAACTCCTGAGTATCTTGTCTCTTAAAGGGTTCTTGACGGCTGGTCAGATGAAAAAAGAACGGCATCAGAACAGCCTCTTCCTTATAAATAAGGAAGAGTCTAACTGTGCAGACATTAATAACTGGCCCAGAACACACAATTAAAGAATCAAAAAGGAAGGGGAGAAAAACACAAAGCAGCACTCAAAGGCCTTGGAAAACTATAAATGCCTGAGAACCTTTGCTGATCCTCCCATATTATTTGGATGGCTTCTCTTCAGCTTTCACTCAGCTTTCTCCTTTCACATCCTCTCATGAGAAGAGCCCGCTCTACCTTACCTACAGCACAACCACAAATACAACATTTGGTTTAAAGTTGTGAGCTTTCTTTCATCATTACAATACCTATCTTTATGTCTGTTGCTCTTCCTAAAATGCAATTTATGCACAAATTAGGTATTTTTCTCCAAGTTCATTATCCCTAGTGCTTAGAATGTACAGGAACATAACATTTAAAAACCACATGAAGAACCTTTCTATCTCTCTATAGATAATTAGATCTTTCTTACTAAGGCTGTATTTTTTAAAATCTATTATCAGTCTTCTAATAGCTGAGCTTTGGTATCATAGATGTGGTTTCCAACGAAGAAGTATTTATCTTCTAACACACCTAGCTAAACAGATCGTTCTTACGTTCTCACTCACTTCCCAGAGGTACCCACAGAAATGGGAATGACCACAATATAGAGTTATAATAAATTTGCAATTAGAAATAATCTAATTTATTTATTCCTCATATGAAAATTCTGGAGAAATAAGCATCTTCTCTTTTTTTCAGATGGATAAATAATATAAAAAGACTTAGAGCAGTGGTGGCAAATGAACCACTGGAATATGTGCGTAGCAGCAAACTGTTGGTATCATTGAAAACTGAAAGATTCACCATCACTGACTTAAGAGCATCAATCAACGAATTAGGATAAACATAATATCCTCAGGGTCTTATTTCAAACATATGCATGCTACCTCACATATTTAAACAAAGACAAACAGAGCCAAATTCTAAAAGAAACACATTAGTATTCAGTTTTGTAAGAGTGCAGAAATGGAAGGATCCAGATAAGTTGCCAAGTTTTGAGAGGTCTTGTATTATAGGTGGTAGGATTTCACCCTGGCCTGGAAATACGTCAGTTGTTTGTTTGTTTGTTTTGACAATGTCTTGCTATGTTTTTCAGGCTAGCCTTGAACTCATGGTGATTGTACCACCTGAGCTGAGACTAGAGGCCTGTGCCACCATAGCCAGCTGTCAAAGATACTGATAGATACCTAAATGTGTGCTCTGTGGCAAAAAGGAGACAGTGCACATAAATCACAGAGTCATATCCATTTTAAATAGTTAAACCGAATAGCAGTAAGACAGTGCTTGATCATAAGAGAGAAGTTTCAATAGATACAGGGAAATGCTATTAGGGAGATAAAAATCTGTTCTATTTCAAATTCACACGCAAAAATTGAATGCCAATTATTTTTATTTATTTATTCATTCAGCAAATTATTATTAAAGATAGGTTGTCCTGCCAGGTGTGGTGGCGCACGCCTGTAATCCCAGCAGAGGCTGAGGTAGGAGGATCACTGCCAGTTTGAGACCAGCCTGGGCTACATAGTGAGTTCCAGGTCAGTCTCTACTACATAGTGAGACCTTGTCTCAAAAAACAAACAAACAAACAAAAAGATATCCTCAGTGATTAAAATTCTGGAAATGGATTAAAAATCTAAAAATCCAAAGTTGAATATAAGCAGATGATGTTACCGTAGTAAAGCTGTAGTCACCCAAACAAGAAATAAATTAACTAAATAATCTTTCATAAAAATACTAAGTATCGAGTATGATGTATTATACCTTCCACACAAAGTGATATGTTTTGGGGAAATCCAATAATTTGTCAAGCTAGCGAATATCCAAGATAGTCCTCCTTTAATAAATAAAGAGTTGAATTGAAATGAAAGCTGAATGGTAAGAAGGGAATATGAAATCATAAAGAGAAAGAACATTTTAAGGTAGAAGGAATCCCATATACAAATGCCCTGTTGAGGGAGGACCCAGCACCTTGTTTTCTAAACTGCTAGCTCTGTGGTGTCAATGATCCTGCAGAAAGCTGGGTATACAACACTTTCCAAATGCTGAATAACTGACCATCTCTTCCAAAGAACAAAGAACCAATGGAACCAGTGATGGAGGGATGTAAGATAGGTTGATGAAGGAAACAGAAGCAGATGAGAGTGAGAAATCAGACAAGTTACCTAAAAATACTAGGCATTACAGCGGACATATGGGAGAATAAAAGGGTTATGATCAGGCTTAAATCTTTTCTTCCCGTAAAGACAATACTGACATTATCTTTACCCCATATTTAATTTCTTTTAAATTACGTTCCCATAGGCACAGACCTCAGTTGCCATAACAGGACTGTGACTCATTACAAAATATATCCCTTTAGGGTCCAAGAAGCTATCAAAGCAATCTGTCCGTTGGAGTAAGACTTAGTTACTCTCTGTTAGTTTCACACACATCCAGCTGCTGATACACATATTAAACATCGCCCAAAGGTCAAACGCTATTATTAGCCTCTTGCTGTAGCTGCAGTGGTGGACCAGGTTCTGTTGACCAGCAAGACCATGGTGTGATGGCATCTACCTGTTCACGACTGAGGCTGTGAACCCACTGTAGATATGGGGTCCTGTTAGCTTTTCCTCCACTCAGTATCTTACCAATGCTGAGAAACACCGAGGACCCAGAGGAGGAAGTAGTGGAACTTGCATTCTGCCATGAGCCCTGTATCACATGTTCAGTGGGCTACAATCTGATGACAAAGCAGCTGCCACCACAACAGGGAGAGAATGGGAAAGGTACAAAGGAGTTAGACCCCTACCTCTGAGGACTAAGCCCAACTCACTGCCTAAGAGAGACCCAAGCTCAGCAGCTATCACAGAAGTCTAGAAGGGAACATGAGTGGCACCTGTCTGATAAAAAAAAAAACAGGTTACCTAGGTACCAAGAAGTCTCTGAGCTAAAAGTCTGCCAGATCTAAGAAGTCAGAGGACAATGAAAATGCGGAGGCTGAGCATGATAGCACACGCCTGTAATCCCAGCACTCTGGGAGGCTGAGGCAGGAGGACCACTATGAGTTTGTGGTCTGCCTGTGATCACTATGAGTTCAAGGCCAATTAGAACTACAGAGTGAGAGAGGCCGGGGATTTAGCTCAGTGGTTCTGCTTCCTGCCTTGCAAGTGCAAGGACCTGAGTATGATTCCCCGTATCTCCCCACTCCCCCCTCAAAAAACCTAGAATGAGGCCCTGTCTCAAAAAACAAAAACAAAAAACTGTGGGGAAGGGAGGCAGATGCTATTTACATTTAACTACTGCTAAGAGAGGTGGGATCACCTCACACTAAGAAGGCTCTGGGATGGCTGGACAACCTCCTCTGAAAGGCAATTGTTGCCTGGATTGGGTGAGATTTCCAGGAGCAAGTGTGGCACCAAGGGGGGTAAGACAGGATTTCAGTTAAGATATTAACATGCGCTGAAGAGTGTTCTTCTAGTATCTGGACTCAGGATATCACAAGCTCTGTGTCTTTGCTTAGGTCACATGGTGAAATTAGAGTGTGTTTAGGAAGTCAAGTATAGGGAAGCTTTAGACAACATCTCTGGATTTGGAACTGCCAGTGAAGAAAGTAGGGGCTGTTCCTGGCACCCAGGGACCTGGCAATCTCAGAGACTGCACTCCCCTCTGTCTGCCCCATTCCTTTATGCTCAGCGTTCCATCTTCAACCACCCCATGGAGTCCAAGGCTAATCTTTTCCACATAAATGACCCTTCCTCCAAGACCCCTGGCTACTCTCTTATATTCTATCAATCATTTTATTTATTTATTTATTTATTTATGTAGGTACCGGGGATTGAACACGGGTCCTTGCGCTTGCAAGGCAGGAGGCAGAACCACTGAGCTAAATCCCCCGCCCCTATCAATCGTTTATTGTCATCCACTAACTAAAATGTAAGGGCTTACATGTATTTCACATTTATCAAATGTTGAATGAATCTTTCAATGAATACTATTCATACCAGCAGCCTGCCTTAGCACCTTTGAATTATTTTTTAAATAAATAACAAAGTCACAGCAGTTCGGTGGCCTGCCTTGTAAGCGCAAGGACCCGAGTTCAATCCCCGTACCAAAAAAAAAAGAATGTAAACAAAGTCAATCCATTTTATCCTATAGGTTGGATCTTGTGCTCGATCCCAGGGAAACACTTGGAATCTGGGCAGAAGTGGGCCTCCTACAGGAATGAAGCCCAGGCTCACAGCAAGGCCATCCCAGCAAATACTGGAAAGGGAAAGCATGACAAGGACAGGCATCAGAACATACCTAACACATCTGTGAGGCAGGAAGTTAAACACTAGGAAGCCTGGTGCTGGGGACTCTGTGAAAACAAAGAAGACAGTCTTCCTTTCTCTTTATTTTCTTAATCTTCACTATAGATAAAATCGAAACAATTTTATGGTTTCCCACATCAGCCCATGAGAATGTAACCTCCTCCAAGTGCACTGATGAAGCTCCAGGACCCAGATAAAGTTCAGACTGTGGGTGAAGAGTTGGTAAAGCCTCAAGTTCTCAAAAGAAACGAAATTGAAAACATCCACGTTGGGAGTAAACAGAAGAGTTCTTCCCTCTGAAGTTGGTCAAGACAGTGATTATCCTAGCAAAAGAATAATGACTTTGGAGGAAAGAAATAATATTCCTTGATTACCCACTTAATCCTACAAATGTAGCCTGAGCCTTAATGCCACGCAACTGCCATCTCTTGGCACTTGCCCACCTTCACATGAAGGTGTATTTTCTATCCCTTTGAGATAAACTTGCCTGTGTGCTGTGACTGCCTACATGTCGTGCCTGAATTTTGTCAAACACAAGCACTCCAAAAACAACAACAACAACAACAAATTCAAAACAAGGAGAGTTGCTGGTTCCTTGTGATGTTCGGAGCTCATGGTGTAAGAACCCGATTCCCAGTGACAACATCTTTCAAAGTACAGCTGTCCCCAAAGGAGCCCGAGATAGGCAATATTCAAAGACAACAGAAAGAGCCAGCTTCATAGGGAGGCTGTTGAAATCTCAGGCTCTTTCTGAGCAGAAGCCAACTCTTGTTCATTAGCTCTGACAAAGAAAACAAACAAATACAGGTAACAATACAAAGGTGTGCACAGCAGGAAAAATGAATCAGTTCTAAGGCACACGAGGACACCAGGGTTTTACTGCAGTACTCAAGTGAGCATAAGCAAGTCAGGTACGGTGGTGTGTTTGTAGTCCCAGCTACTAAAAAGGCTGAAGCAGTAGGATCACTGGAGCCCAGGAGCTGAAGGTCAGCCTGGAAGGCACAGCAAGACTCGCCTCTTACAGAAAAACAGCTAACAGGGCAGGGGATTTGGCTCAGTGGTTCTGCCTTCTGCCTGGCAAGAGCAAAGATGGGAGATCATCCCCAGCACTGCCTTCCCCACCCCCAAAAGGCTAACAGGATTATTCAGAGCAAATCAAGTTAAGTCCTGACACTGGAACTCCAGGACACAGGACAAAAGGGGTCCTACAGCATTGGCAGTCAGGTGATCAACATGCTGTCCTCAGGCAGGCCAAGGGCTGATGTGTCAGGAAGGCCCTGACCGGCCCTCCCCAGAGGCTATCAGCCAGAAAGAACCCGCATCAACCTTTGCCCTGGCTGAGCCTTTGAGGCTGCATTGTGCCTTGGAAGCTTGGAAAGCTGGGGACTCTCCCACCAGCTACCCCATCTTCTGAGTAGGGCAAGGGTCCACCTTCCATTTACCTGGGGGAGCAGGGAGAGAGAGAGAAGGAATTCCAGTTTCCTTTGCAAGGAGAGAAAACCAAAACTACAGAATAGGGAAGTTATAAGAATGGACTCAACACGAAGAAATAAGGGTTCCTTCAGAAATAAGGCCTGTGCCTCTTGAACATTTCCTTTTCAGGCAGTTCCTCCCCTGATTCTTCATGGCTGCCATCAGTCTGCACTTGAGCTTTTCTTGCCTTCAGAGAAAGCCGATCTCTGAGCACAAATTAAACTCCGTCAACTTCCTTTCCTCCTGGAGTCTCCCACCCTGTGCACCTCCTCTCCCCACCCCCCCCCCCCACC